CCCCAAATATAATCCACTCTGCAACCCTCATTCTGTACTCTTATGATAAGCATAATGCCCTAAAATATAATACTTCAGAGAATATTAGAATTTTCAAAGCACTATTCATTTTGTGAAGCTTTTCAGCGTTTATAATAGCAATGTGACTAGCATACTTACTTTGGAAAATGCCTGCTCTCTAGTTTAAGGAAGTATTTTACAGTTTACAATGTCCCTTGACATTTCCACAACTTTATGCAAATTGCAACATACTTTATTGTTTACAAAGCACTATTAATCTGGTGGTTGTCAGTAGCTGCTTGTTGTACTCTTAACTAAAAGTCCACATCTCGGACCTCTGGTGGCCTGGTGGCAGGAAGCTGCACTGCAATCCTGAAGGTGCACGGTTCATATCCACCAGATCTTCTGCTGGAGCCTGAGGTGCAATCTCCTGTGCCAGTCCGCTCAGATTTGATGGTACACAGCAAGGAGAAAAAACACTATTAAAAAAAAACCTGAAAGAATTTTACTTTTCAAAGAGAAGAACAATCTGGAGGGGAGGGGTGGGCAGGGAGAAAAGTGAAACAGTGAATGAATAGAAATGCAAAATATCTGTAAATTTTCATTAAAATGAATAATAATAATAATAATAATAATATAATAATAATAGTTAAAGAAAGAACCCAAACCAAACCAATATACAATTTTAAAAAATCATGTGTTGGGTTTGTTTTTTTTTTAAGCCCACATCTCGCTGGCTGTTGGAATCCAACAGAGGCAGTATCTTCCTGTTAAGATTTACAGCCTTAGAAATCTAATGGAAAGTCACTATGAGTCAGAATCTATTCAATGACAGGAGTTAGACTGATTTTCAGAGTGTTTAAAAAATTGTAGAGGAGTTCACCTAGGCCCACTCACTGCAGGTAACACACACAGTTAAAATAGTTTTAGAAGTCAGTCCTGGAGCAGAAGTTCAAGGCAAAGGGGTTTTCCTCAGAACCACCTGAGACAGGAAGCCTTCCCTGGTATTTGGACTTAGAGACTCCTAAACTCAAGAGATTCTGGCCACAGTATAAGTAACTGGCAGCAGCGTGATGTGTTCAGAATCACAGAAGCCCAGAAGGCTTGAGACCTAAGCCATCATATCAATTACTGAATAAGGAGTGATAGGTTTTGAATGGTGTAGGTGAGAGTGGAAAGGGGTACCGGTGGAGTAGGGAAAGAGGTGTGTCAAGACACGTGTGCCAAGGGTGAGTAGCAACACAGAATCTCTTGGTTAACTTCTCTAATTGGGGAAATGTCTTTCATCTGCTCCTTTTTGTAAAATGCTTGTCTGTAAGATCTGAGCATTCAAATGAATACAGACTAGGAAGAAGGATTGGCCATCCACTTCCAAAATAACAGGGCTTCAAAAACCCTATGTAAAATAGAGCACACTTAGACTAGCAGATATGGCAACTGAGGCTGAGCCCTCAAAGATGGAAACACAGAGAAGAGGAACCGTTGTAAGCAGACACTACTGATTGCAACATGGAAAGTGAGAAGCATGAATATAGGAAAACTGGACATTGTTAAGAAGGAAATGGAACACATAAATATTGAAATACTAGGAATTGGGAAAATGAGATGGCTTGGCATGGGACATTTTGAATCAGATGATCACAGGATCCTCTATGCCGGCGATGAAAAGGTAAGGAAAAAAAATGGGGTTGCTTTCATAGTTAAAAAACGCATTTCTAGATCCATCTTGAGATACAATAGTGTGAATGACAGGATAATATCCATACATATCCAAAGAAGTCCAGTGAATACCACTATCCTTCAAATATATGCACCAAGAACCAGAGCCAAAGAGGAGGAAATAGATTTCTACCAATTTTTGTAGTCAGAAATCAATTGAACATGCAATCAAAAAGCATTAATAATAATGGGCAACTGAAATGCAAAAGTTGGGAACAGGGAAGATGGGGCAGTAGTTGGAAAATATGGACTTGGTGACAAATATGAGACTGGAGATAGAATAATAGAATTCTGTACATTCCATAATTTATTCATTGTAAATCCTTTTTATAAGAAACACAGACGCAGGCTATACACATTAATTTTACCTGATAGTATGCATAGGGAATCAGATCGATTACATTTGTTGAAAGAATCACTGGAGAAGCTCAATATCAGCTGTGAAAACTAGGTCAGGTGCTGATTGTGGATCAGACCACCAACTAACTACTCCTATGCAAGTTCAACCTGAGATTAAAGACAAATCCACAGGAACCAAAATATGACCTTGAGTCTATACCACTCGAATTTCAAAACCTTCTCAGGAACAGGTTTGAGGCCTTGAACACTAATGAGCGAAGACCAGATCAGCTGTGGGAGGTTATAAAGAATATCAACTATGAAGAATGCAAAAGGTAAGAGGAGGAAAAAAAGACCAAGATGGATGTCAGATGAGACTTTGAATGCTGCACTAGAGCATCGAGAAGCAAAAGCAAAGGGAAGAAATCAAGAAAATAAGGAGCAAAACAGAAGATTTCAAAGGGCAGCATGGAAAGACAAATTACAGTATGATAATGAAATGTGTAAAGACTTGGAGTCAAAATACAAAAGACCCAACTTGCTAAGCATTTCTTAAACTAAAGGAATTGAAGTACAAATTCAAGCCTTGAGTTGCAATATTTAAGGATGCTTTGGGCAGAATATTAAATAATCCAGGAAGGATTAAAAAAAGATGGAACGAGTATACAGAATCACTATACCAAAAAAGAATTGGCTGACACAGAAGAATTTCATGAAACAATGTATAAGCAAGAGCCTATGGTGATGAAGGAAGAAGTTCAAGCTGCTCTGAAAGAATTGGCAAAAAGCAAGGCCCTGGGAATTAATAGCATACCAATCTACATATTTCAACAAACAGATTCTGCCCTGGATGTGCTCACCAAGTTGTGCCATGAAATCTGGAGGACAATCACCTGGCCAACTGACTGGAAAAGATCTATATTTGTTCCCATTCCAAAGAAAGGTGACCCAACTGAATGCAGAAACTATTTAACAATATCATTAGCATTACATGCAAACATGATTCTGCTGAAAATTATCCAAAAACTACTAGAACAGCACATCAACAGAGAAATGCCAGATGTGCAGGCTGGGTTTAGAAGAGGGATATTAGCTAATGTTAGATGGATCTTGGCTGAAAGCAGAGAATACCAGAGGAATATCTGTGTTTCATTGACTATGCAAAGTCATTTGACTGTGTGGATTACAACAAACTGTGGGCTTACCCTGAGAGGAATGGGGATCCCAGAACATTTGACTGTGCTTATGCTAAACCTATATTTGGACCAGGAGACAATGATTAGAACAGATAAAGGAAACACTGCATGGTTCAAAATCGGGAAGGGTGTACACCAGGCATGTGTCCTATCTCCATATCTTTTCAATCTATATGCAGAACAGATCATCCAGGAGGCTGGGCTGTATGAGGAGGAGTGTGGCATCAGGATTGGAGAAAGACTCATCAACAACCTTTGCTATGCAAATAACACAACCCTGCTTGCTGAAACTGAGGATGACCTGCAACGCTTACTGCAGAAGGTCAAGGATTGAAGCCTTCAATATAGATTGAAGCTCAGCATCAAGAAAACAAAGATTCTCACCACTCAGCCAATTGGCAGCATTATGATGGATGGTAAAGAGATAGAGATTGTTAACAGCTTTAGTTTACTTGGCTCCATAATCAAATCTCTCAGTATCAGCAACCAGGAAATTAAAAGATAAATTGCTTTGGGAAAGTCTGCTGTCCGGAACCTCCCCAGACTACTGAAGAGCAACAATGTCAGTCTGAAGACTAAGGTGCGTTTGATCTATGCCATAGTCTTCACAATTACTTGCTGTGCATCAGAATTGCTGCCTTTGAGCTGTGGTGCTGGAGAAAAGTATTGAATATAAGTATTGAATATGGGCTGCCAGGTTTGGCCTAGAGAGGGTGAAACTAGGCTCTTGCCTGGAGGCAAGGATTCTGAGGCTTCATCTGACATACTTTGGGCATATTGCATGGAGGGACCAGTCCTTGGAGAAAGACTTTATGCTTGGAAGGGTGAAGGGACAGTGCAAGAGAGGAAGACCTTCGATGAGATGGATTGTTTCAGTGACTGGTATAATGAGGGTAGATGTGTCAGAGAAAATAAGGTTGGCAAAGGACAAAGCAAGTTTCAGGGCTATTGTACATACGGTCACTACTAGTCACAAGCAACTCAACAGCACATAACAACAATAAACAACAACATAGTGACAATGAGGAGAAAGTGCTAGGGATCAAGGGATTTACCTGGGCTTTTCCTTTCTAGGAGTTGAGTATTAACAGATGTGCTCTGCTTTTCCTCTCCAGGGCAAAATACTTCAAAGGGAAAAAGATCCATGGAGAAATAGACATTAAAGTAGAACAGGTTAGTTGGGGTCGGTGTACCTGGGGGCCAACTGTCCAGTCTGTAAACTGGATGATCATTTCTGTATAATATAATTTAATTACTGATTTTCTTCTTTCCAGGCTGAATTCTCCGATCTTAACCTTGTGGCTCATGCCAATGGTGGATTCTCTGTGGATATGGAAGTTCTTCGGAATGGGGTGAAGGTCATGCGGTTAGTATAAAAAGGGTACCTTGGTGTTGTGGAAGAGGCATAAGGACTCTTTCAAAGCTGAGTTAATCTACTTATCCATCTGTGAAAAAGAACCTTAAGCACATAACTGTAGGCAGGTAAAATTTTTCCCTGAAAAAAGTCTGTGGATCCAAGCAGACCACAACACAATTTTTTCACTCATTAATGCAACAAATATTTACTGACAATCTATTGAAAGGTAAATGCAACTCTTGGGTTTTTGCATTCAACAAACATTTATTGAATACTTGCAAAGAACTGTTCTGTGTGGTGAAGACCTAGTAATAAAGAAAACATGAAAAATTAACTCATATATAAGTGCTGAGGAAAAATGTCTAACAGTGAAGAGATATAAGGATTGTTGGATGGTGATGAGGTCTGCAGTTTCAATAGAGTGGTGCAGTAGTGTGAGAGCCAGAATAAATATCTGAAGAAGATAAAGATCCATGCATATATCTAAAGGGCAAATAAACGTTACAGGCAGAGAAAACAGACAGTGTAGCAGGCCCTACTGAAATTCATTATTGGGAGCACACTTTGACCTGACCTCACACTCTGAATCTTAGATCCTGTGACCTGGGAACTGTCCTTGATGAGAAGAATAGCAAGTAGGAAAGTCTTAAGGATAGGGGAAAGGGTGCAGAGGAAACAGTTCATGAATGTATGCAGAGGAAATAAATAATTTGGAAATTTCTAGTTACTGTGGTGATTTAGAAACTTGGTCTTTGTTCCAAGGGTTGTGGGGAACTTCTTTGAAGGCCCTTAATGCTCCTACCTGTGTCACTCCTAGGTCTCTGAAGCCAGACTTTGTGCTGATACGCCAGCATGCCTTCAGCATGGCAAGGAATGGAGACTACCGCAGTTTGGTCATCGGGTTGCAGTATGCAGGAATCCCCAGTGTTAACTCTTTACATTCCATCTACAATTTCTGTGACAAGCCTTGGGTGGTAAGTGATAGAGAGGGTACTTCTAGCAGAGCAAAAAGTTCATGTATGCATGTGGAGGCCTAAAATCACTTTGTGATTTTTTTTTTTAACTGGTAAGTTTAGAAACTAGAGACTCCCTCCAGATAAAGGACTTACTGGCCCATTTCTTCTGGCTCTCATAGTTTGCTCAGATGGTTCGCCTGCACAAGAAACTGGGGACAGAAGAATTTCCCCTAATTGATCAGACCTTCTACCCTAATTATAAAGAAATGGTAAGTCTTGGAGAGGTAGAGTGGGTAGCAGGAATTGCTGCAGTTTTATTATCAATGTTGTTGTTATGTGTTGTTGAGTTGTTTGTGACTCATAGTGACCCTGTGTACAATAGCCCTGAAATCCTGTGACATATTCACTCTCTGACACACCTACCCTCATTGATATGACTGTATTATTAATGATTTATCAGAGAATGCAGTTGGTACATGTATGTGGAGGCATAACACTGCTTTGTGATGTTGTTGTTGTTTACTGCTGTCAAGTCAAGCATTATTCATAGTGACCCTATAAACAAAAGGCCTGAAACCTTTCTATAATTATCATAATTTCTCCAAATCCACAAAGTTTTCAGAGGCGTGTGGTTTAAGACGTGGATGCCACTCCTGCGTCAAAGCATATCTTAAACTGGGAGCGCCACCAAACACTGTCAGCCATGGGCAGCCATTATGGCATTTGACCCCTAATGGTTCAACATCACAGCAAACTCAGATTACCTCAGTGCAGCAAATTGACAGGAGAGTGCTATACAATTTAGGAGAATGTTCCTCCAAAATAAAATAACAGTAGACCCTTGAGCCCAACTGACTTTTAAATATATATACATACAACAAAACGCCTGAAGCCTTTCTATAACTATCATTATTTCTCCAAGTTCATAGAGTTTCCAGAAGCATGTGGTTTAGGAAGTGGATGCCACTCCCTACCTCCAAACTTGAATCAATCTGAGAGCTCCATCAAACATTGCCCACGATGGGTAGCCACTATTGTTTTTGGCATACCTATGGCACAGTTGTTCCATTATGGAATTTGAAACCCATATGGCACAATATTCAGTGTCACAGCAAACCCAGATTACCTCATCACACCAAATTGGCCAGAGTGCTGTATGACCTAGAAGAATGTTCTTCAAAAATATAGTAATAAGGGATTAAAATATAATCCCTCTGGCCTAACTTTTAAATATAGGGGCCCCCTAGGAGGTCTTGTTGACTCTAAACAAGAGGCTTAAATAAAAACCAAATAATAATAATAATCCACACAGATCCTAAACCAAAGCAAGAGCACCATCTTATAGACTCCAGCCACTTCATTCAAATCCAAAATGGAGACAAGAGCTTTGGTGTTATATGTTGTTGGTAAGTGCCATCTAGTACCAACCCTATAAACAGAACTATTGACCTTCTTCTAAGTTCGTAGTGTTTCCACAGGCATGTTCAGGAAGTGGATGCCACTCCTGCTTCCAAGCCTGTCTTAATCAGTGAGCACTACCAAACATTGTCAACCATATGTAGCCATTATGGAACACCATTTGGTACCATAGACTCCAAAGTTACCTCAATACAGAGAAAGGACAGAGCAGTACTGTACCACTTAGGAAAATGTTCATTTCAAAGACAAATAAAAACCAGGCCCAAAGGCCTGTGGCCCTCAGGCCCAAATGAATTTTCAAAGAAACCAGGTCTGCACCCTGGGCTCTCATTGGCCAAAAAAGAGGCTTCCAACCAACCAGTTGCTCCAGAGCCAGCCCCTAGCCAGCACAGAGAAAAAAAACCAAGGACTCACCCCTCTAAAGGCCACAAGTTTCCAAACGTTGTGATAAGGTTTATTAATATAATGATTTTACTAATTGTTACCAGTATGAATAAAATCATTGATATCACTATTTATCTGATCCTGTTACTCTTATTGCGTATTCTTTCTAGTTGTTGTTGTTGTTGTTTTTGTTGATTGCCTTTGGGTCAATCACAACTCATAGCGACCCTATGAACAAAAGGCTTGAAGCCCCTCTACAGCTATCGACATTTATCAAATTTCACAGGGTTTCTGGAGGCATGTTATTTAGGAAGTGGAATTAACAGAACTAAGGTTAATTAGTTCAAATGTAAATGTAATGTTAATTGAACAGAATTAATAAAATTATATGATTATGTATAGAAATTGAGGGAACTTGAGGAAGCTCTAGTGGCCTAGTGGTAAGAAGCTGTGCTGCAATTCCGAAGGTTTAAATCCACCAGTTGCTCCATGGGAGAAGGATGGACAGTTTAATCCTGTGCAATTTACAGCCTCCGAAAAGCTACTGGACTGTCAGCTATGGTTCGGTTCTGAACTGATGGCAAACAACAATAGCACAACAGTATCTTAAAAAGCATAGTCTAACAAGTTACACTGCTAACCCAAAAGTCACTTCTCTCTGGCTGTCCAAATTCGTCAGTTGCTACACAGATGGAGAGACTCCTCCAGTGATATTTGTAGACTTGGAAACCCAATCAGTTATGCATCAGTTTTGACTATGATAGAGAAAGAGAGAATAATAAAGTATTATCAATATTACAAATTATGCTCTAATATGAATTGTAAGCACCTCTGTTATTATTTTATGATTAATAATGGAAATTGTATCATTAATAATCTTAAATATTATAACTAATATTGTATTTAAAAACAATGTTACAAATGAAAATTATAAGAATGAGTCCTATATTGTAAATTAAATTAAATTATAAATAATTGCTAAAAAATTAAACTATAAATACAAATGCTGCTGTAAAATATTTTTACAAATACAACAAATTATTACCAATGTTACAATTTAGGATTACTAACAGCCCTGGTGGTACAGTGTTCAGGTATTAACAAAAAGGTTTGTAGTTTAAATCCAAAAGCTGCTCTGTGGGAGAAAGGTGTGACTATCTGCTTCCATAAAGATAAAATACTGCATAAGACTATTATTGTAAAAACAGAAGGATAACCAGTTAGATATGTATGGATATCCAAAGCAGGAAGGAGAGGGGACAGAGGGGCTGAGGGTAGGAAGGAGAGAAATCATGGGGTCACAGAATTTGGTGTGTGGAGGGAGGAAGTGGGAAAAACCCACAAATGTAATGTACCTGAATGAGACACAATGTAAACAAATTATTGTATGCAAACCAATAAAAAAATAACAATTTAAAAAGACTATAGCTTGGAAACCTTATAGAGCAGTTCTACACTGCCCTCTAGGATTGCTCCAAATTGGAACAGAATTGAAAGTAATGAATTTAGAGTTTTGGGTATAATTTGAATTATATCATATTATTATAGTTACTGGTGGTTAATGTTCCATCAGATAGTATAAGTAATTATAAATATTAAAGTAATTATTGCTAATATAAATTATGTGTACCGTAGTTTTTAATTACAACAGCATTAATAGTAAATTTTACAAATAACTTTACAAATTTTAGTAATGTTAAAATTATGTTTGTTGTTATGTACCATCGAGTTGTAATTGACTCATAACTGATCCTCAAACAGGTTTTCAGAGGCAGTAGATGGCATGGAAGGGGTTTGCCCATCTTTTTCCTGAAAATCTATGTTTGTTGTTGTTGTTATGTGCCATACAGTCCTGAAACCTGCTCTATCTTGTGTCAACCGTATTGTCTCTGACACACCAGCCCCAGTCACCGAATCAATCCATCTCATTGAGAGTCTTCTTCTCCTGTGCTGTTCCTCCACTCTTCCAAGCATGATGTCCCTCTCTAAGGACTGTTCTCTCCTTGCAACATATCCAAAGTATGTCAGACAAAGCCTCAGAATACTTGCCTCCAAGGAGGAGCCTGGTTTCACCCTCTCTAGGCTGAACCTGTTTGTACTCCTGGCAATCTATTCAGTACTCTTGTCCAGCACCACAGCTCAAAAGCATCAGTTTTCTTTCTCTCATCCCTAGTCATTGTCCAGCTTTCTGATGCATAGCAAGTAATTGCGAAGACTATGGCCTGGATCAGGTGCATCTTAGTCGCCAGACTGACATCATTGCTCTTCAGTACTCTGGAGAGGTTCCTGAAAGCAGACTTTCCCAATGCAATTCATCTTTTGATTTCCTGGTTGCTGGTACCAAGAGTGTTGATTGTGGAGCCAAGCAAACTAAAGCTGTTAACAATCTCGATCTCTTCATCTATCATAATGCTGCCAATTGGCTGAGTGATAAGAATCTTTGTTTTCTTGATGTTAAGCTTCAATCCATATTGAAGTCTTCAGTCCTTGACCTTCTGCAGCAAGCACTCCAGGTCCTCCTCAGTTCCTCAGTTTCTGTAAGCAGGATTGCGTCATCTGCATTATGTTTCCTTACATAAATAATAATTACTAGTTTTATTAAATTACAAGTAAGTATCAAAATTGACCCAATATTACCAACTTGATAAAATGAACATTGTTACTAATATTAATCTGATAGCAAAAATATTCATCTAAGTGTAAAATACCAAAGCGCAATGATGTCAGTTTGAAGACCAAGGTGTGCCTGATTCAGGACATGATCTCTTCAATTATGAAGAAGGGTGACAGAAGAATTGATGCCTTTGAGTTGTGATGTTGGGTAAGAGTACTGAATATTTCATGGTCAGTCAAAAGAACAAACATATATGTTTTGGAAAAGGTACAATCAGACTGCTCCTTGGAAGCAAGGATGGCAAGACTTCTTCTCTCATACTTTGAACATGTTGCTAGGAAAGGCTATTCCTTGGAAAGGGATATATCATGCTTGGAAAGGTGGATGGTCAGCAAAAGAAAGAAAGACCCACCATGAGGTGGATTGACATGGTGACTGCAACAGTTGGTTCAAGTGTATCAAAGATGATGAGGATGACACATGATATAGGTCTGTTTTTCTTAAGGGTCATTATGAATTGTACTTGATTTGAAGGCACCTAACAATAACTCATAATATATACCTACAACTATCTGTTGTTGATTGTTGATCCAAGCAAGATGAAATTATCTTCAATCTTTTATCAGTCTCTCATGATGTTGGGCCTGTGGTGAGGAGCTTTGTCTTCTTGATATTGAGATGTAATACATACTGAAGGCTTGTTGGAGGAAAGAATAGTGAAGTTTCATCTTTTATACTTGGGACATGTAGCTAGGTGAGACTATTTTTTGGAAAAGGACATCATGCTTGGAAAGATTGAGGATCAACAAAGGAGAGGAAGATCTCAACAAGATGAGTTGGCACTGTGACTTC